GGAATCTGGGTACCTCTAGGCCAGGTGTGGAGTCCAGTCTGCCCCCTCAGAGGGAAGACCGTGGCCACACTCCCTCATAGTCCCACCGAGTCTCCAGCATCTGGCCTCTACTCCTGCTGTCCCTGGAGGTGGAAAGTGCTTTGTCAGCATCTCTGGTCCACTCTGAAGAATGGCCTCTGCCCCACCCTGTAGAGCTCCCTTGGAATGGGTGCGACACCCCTCCCTCCACTTGTGCCCTCTCAGCTCCCTGCTGCCCGCAGCTCAAACTTGAAGTCCTACTTGCCATGATTTATTCCAGCCTTTTGCTTCATGCGTTTCTGTTTAAGAATTTTATCGTTGGGTCTGGAGGATGGCTCAGCTGGTAAAGTGCCTGCTGTGCGAGCGTGAGGACCTGAGTTAGTTCCCTAGTACTCAGGTTTAAAAAAAAAAAAAGCATGGCAACACTAGGAAGACAGAGACAGGAGGATTCCTGGGCTCACTGGATGGCCAGTTTAGCCTAATCTTGGGAGCTACAGGTTCAATAAGAGACCCTGTCTCCCCCAAATAAGGTGGTGAGTGATGAAGGAAGACATTGTCGTCAGCTTTGGGCCTCCATACACGCACTGCCAGCACACACAAAGAATTTTATTGTTGATGCATTTGAGAAAAATTTAACTCTTTAGAAAAGTATCTCACGCTTTCAGAAGTGTCTAGAATCAGAGTGGCTTGAGGAGCCATCAAGTGCCCTTCACCTTCACTGTCTCCTTGTAACCACCCAGGTAAAGAAACTCGAAAGAGACAGGTACGCTTCTCTCTTAGGCCATCAGATTATTAAAACAATAGATACCCAAGGCACTGGAATTTTCCCAGGAGTCTCATGCTGGAGAAGGGAAAGGCTGAAGCCAGGTGCCAGCCAGAGGGGGAGCTTGTCTGCCAGAGAGATCTCACAGAGTTCTGAGAACTTGTCAGACCACCTTGTAGGAGAGACTGGAGCTGACAGTGATGGGCAGGACCACACCTTGACCAGGACTGCTTAGGTATGAACACCTCCTGCCCTCTGTTTAAGCCTCAACCTCATGTCTGGACCCTGAGGACAGACTTGGGAGTCTCTGGACCTCTTTGTCCCTCTTCCCAATGTGATTGCACTGAATGATGCTCCTGTCTGCTTTTCACTGTTACCTGTTTGAGGACTGTGGTTGACACGGCTGTTAGGGCTGCATAGACTCAGGACTAAGGGCTCCTGTAACATGCTTACAACTTTCTCTGTCCGCCTCCTTTTTCCCTCCCTTATTCCTAGAAATTTCACAAGTTTATAACCACGTTTCTAAGAAGAAAGCAGTCTTCTGCTAGCCACAGGGCAGTTACCAAAGTAACCAGTCTTTGATCTGCCAGTTTTTGTCCTGTGACTGGCTTCCACTCTTCCTTTCTTTTAGTTTTTAATTTTGTTTTGGCCATTTGTCGATTTTCTAGTTGATAAGATATTTAACACCCACAACCACCTCCTGCTTGCAGAAGAGAATCTTATTAGAATCCAGTCTTCAGTCCTCATTCCTGGGATGTCCCAAGAAGGTGCCTGCACATCAGACTCACAGCCTGGCACTTGCCCTCCCTCGAACCTGGCTACCCTTCCACCTGCCCACCTTTGTACCTGGCCATGCATGTAACACCACCCCCCCCCAATTCCTGTCCATACTCACACCTAGCCAACTAAGCCCTGCTTCCTTGGTCTTCAGCAGCCAGTTTTCTTTTCCTTTCTATTTTTATTTTTTGGTTTTCCGAGACAGGGTTTCTCTGTGTTCTTTTGGAGCCTGTCCTGGAACTCGCTCTGTAGACCAGGCTGGCCTTGAACTCACAGAGATCCGCCTGCCTCTGCCTCCTGAGTGCTGGGGTTAAAGGCATGCACCACCACCGCCCAGCTCAGCAGCCAGTTTTAAAAGTAAAGCCTTCCATTCCCTTTTTGGCCACTGCTCAGCACACATCGCTTGGGATGGCAGGGGCTCCTCGACTTTTGACCTTGCTGAGTCCCCTGCAGACATTTCACACCCCCATCTTTTCCTCTTCTCCTGTCTTCAGCCCTTTTCATATCTAAAGAGACTGTGATTTGCATCTCAGCCCAGATTCCATTTCTTGTCATTACCCAGGGAATTCCCACAGCCTTCCAGACCCCAGGGTCCACAGACAGCTTCTTACCTGCCCTCAAACTCTGGAGCACGACCCAGATCCCTTGCTCCCTTGGCTACTAAGTCCTGGTTCCCCACTTGTTCAGTGTGTCTGTTAACTTCTTCCTCCCAGGAGATAGTGTTGGCTCCCATACCCTACACCTCCCCCTTACCTCCTTACAGGGACTCTCCACCTATTGAGATTTTTTAGATACAAAGCTGTCGAGGATAGCCATACACTGCCCCGCTCAGACTTGCTGCTTTGGGGATGTATGACCTGCCAGCTGAGGCAGCCAGGGTCACTCCATGGGGTCATAGACAGCATTAAGCACAGAGGCAGGGTTCCACACATCGCCCTTGGGTCAGTCGGTCTGGTTTGATTTGTAGAGGTCTCTCGTATTTCAATCGTTCACTGGAAAATGTAGTAAGTGCCCATAAATCTGCCACCCCACCCAAGAATTATATCTCCCAAGCTTGTATTTGTGAAGAGCTCTACTCCCATATGCTCCCTGCTCTGTGCCCACTGCCCCCAGATAAACATCATCTAGCATTTTGTATTTGATATTTCCTTGTTTCAAGAAAAAGAAAAGGTATCTTCTTTTTTAAATAATACTAATAATATTGATTGTCAACTTGACAGGATCTAGACTCCACTAGGAGACAAACCTATGGGTGGTTTAGATGAGAACTCTTCCCTTCTCTTGAACACTTTGTTACCCTGGCAGCCCTGTTTGGGGAGGTTTAGGTGGTACAACCTTGCTGGAGGAAGTGAGTCACTGGGGATGAGCTCTGAGATGAAAAGTCTAGCATCCCTTCCAGTGTGTTCCCGCAGCTTCTTGCTTGCGGTTGAGATGGGAGCTTTTTTCCTGCTCTGGCCACCCTATCTACTGCTTGGGCTGTGCTTCCCCCACCATGATGGGCTCTCACGCACCTTTCTTCTGTAAGTTGTCTCTGGTCATGGCTTTTTATCACAGCACCAGAAGAGCAATAACACCTTGGCACGTCTGAGGGGAGTTTCTAGTGGAGTCACTGAGGTGGGAGGACTGTCGTACAGGCTAAACCAGAGAGAAGAAAAGGAGAAAATGAGCTGAGAACCAGCTTGTATCACTCTGCTTCTGGCTGCAGATGCCACGTGACCAGGCACACTTCTGCCACCGTCGCTCCCCAGCATGATGAACTGGACTCTCAAACCGTGAGTTCAAACCAACTCTTCCTTCCTTCCTTCCTGAAGTTGCTTCATCAGTATTTTGTCACAACAATGAGAGAAGTCGCTAACACACACTCCCAAAGTGTCCCCATGGCATTGAGCCATACTTGTCCAGAGCAGGGCCCACAGTGGCCCTGCCTCCCCTCTCCCAGACCTCAGATGCCTGGTGTGTTGGATGCAGCCACATTGTTCCTGGTAAGCACAAAGCCAGGAGAGACTCGGGTTCACTATTTATCTCCAGAGCATCATGCTCAAGCCAGTGTTTCCCCTGAAGCCACTGTCTATGTAGCTGCTCAGCTCTGCCAGGTACAAACTTGAGCTTGGAGCTCCTGTGTCCCTTAAACACAGGTCCCTGCAGCACCCATTTGCCTCTGACATCACTATGCACAGCTTCCCACTGAATTGTCTTATAATCCCTGGCCCCTGGGCACATGCCAAGTCACACTGCTCTGTATCTGAGCCCACCTGCTCTGACTTGCCCTGCCCAGCCCCATAATGAGGCAGAACTGTCCTCAGAGGTCTGGCCTACTGTTGTAGCAGTCAATCTAGATGTTGGAGAGAAGGTTCAGGGCTGAGGCTCTTCCTCGAATGGGCTTTGGGAGCTGGTGAGAGGAGCATGGTGGGTCCAAGACTTCTGATGCTGAAGGGAGGGCCAGGGAGAATGAAGCGCATTCTGAGTGTCGATGAACACCCTCCAGAGTCCCTCACAGCTCCGGCGAGTGGAGGCAACCTCTTCGGGGATCTCCACTGAAGCCCTAGTACCCTGAGAGCATCTCACACAAAGCGAGAGTGGGGCCACGGTCATACCAAGATGGCTCTTTTCTGACCTGTTGGGGATATTGTCCTAGCTAGGCCAGGGCCTGGGACTTAACAAAAACAAGTTCCCTTCTGGGCCAAGGTTGGGCCTGCCACAGTTCTACCCAGGAAAAGGACCTTACCAGCTCATACAAGCCTCTGGAGGAAGTGGGAAGTTTATGACTCAGAATAGTCCTGTGCATCTCTGGGAAGGCCTGTGGCCCAGCTATGAAGTCAAGGGCTGAACCATCCCAGGCCCCATGTTCCTCAGAGTGAATGTATTATTGACCTTGTTAGGCCAATAGGATTCAGGCAGTGAGGTATCCAGGCAAATTGTGCAGGCTCAGCCTTACCCTCATCCCTCAGTGTCCAAAGAGGGGCAGGCACTAGATAGAGTGTATAGGAGGAGGCAGGGTTGATGTAGGCTGAGTCTGAGGATGAACACAGAGGGTCAGCCTTTCAGGGTGGCTTCTGGCTTCTGGCCAAAGGTGAGGCCCTGAGAAGGGGCAGTGCTGGAGGAATGGAGACTGAGCCCGTCCCGGGGTGTGCCTGCCAAAGCCATTCCGGGTGGATGACCGTACCAAGGGACAAAGGAGATAATCCTAGAAACTCCTGCTCAGATATTGTTGGAGTCCCATGGTCATCTTTCTCCAGGCCCTGTCATGTTAGACAAGTCCAGACATGGACCATGCCCACCAGTTTCAGGGTGCATGCAGCCCAGGGTCCTTGAACTGTACCCGAGCTGTGTGGCCTTCACACTGCCACACTGCTGACGGACTCCAGAATGGGCAGAGACAGAACTAGACCAGACCAATGGTAGGGATGTGAATCCTTTATTGGAGTGAGGCCAGGTCCTCCCAGCTTGGCTGCTGGGTGCTCCCCCAGTGGTGGGGTGGGGCGGGGCGGTTAGGACTCCGACTCAAACATCTTCTTCCGGCCCTCCATGCCAGACTTCTCCTCAATATTCTTCCTCCAGTCACCCACGTCGCGCAGGTCCCGCTCCTGAGGGTAGGACCGGAGAGCCCTCAGACCCACCCCCGTCTTCTCCAGACTACCCTGGGCCTCGGTTCACTCTCCATGAACGGGACAGTGAGCGAACTCCCCTGGAAGTGGCCTACCTTCTCGGTGTCCTCCTTCTTGACCTGCTTCAGGTTGGCCCTCAGGTCCATGCACACCTTGTGCTTAGAGCCCAGCAGCGCCTTCAGCATGGCATCGGCCGACATACGCACCCTCCGAAGCGGGGGCCTCTTGAACTTGCCCCTCAGGTCAAATAGCTTCTGGTTCATGTCTTCCAGCTGAGAGGAAGGAGCAGGAGGTTTAGGGACCTGGCAGCCCCCATGTCCCTGACCTTGGCCTTACTTTCACACCAACTGGTTTCATCCCATATCAGTCGGCCTCACCGCCATACCGTTGGGCTTCACCCCTTGCCACCGAGCTGTCCCTCCTGCCCCTCTCATGACCCCTGAAGTCACTGACTCCACCCCATGCCATCTGTCCCACCCCCATGCCACTGGCTCCTTCCTCTTTACCTCCTTGCTGCTCTTCTGCACCTTCACCTCCATGTCATATTTCTCCTCCTCAGCCACATCAATCTTAGCATGCAGTTGTTTGCAGAGTTCCTGGGTGGGCAAGCAGCGGGTGGGTGGCCACCCTGATACTTGAGGACCACAGTCCCCTCCCAGGCCTGTCCCACCAGGCCTGACCTGCTGAGGAATAGGGGTAGCAGGGCCTTGGGTGGTATGTGGCAGGAAGGGACTACCTGCACTTCAGACATGGAGCCTGGGATATGCAGAGGTGGGCAGTGCTCTGACAGGTAGTTTTGCTTCTCAGATTCACGGCGGCTTTCCTCTTTCTCCAGCTCCGTGGCCGCAATCTGGAGCATCACACTCTGAGAAGCAGAATGGTGGGAGTGAGGGTCTGCAGTAACTCCCACCCCGACCTCTGTACCCCCAGCCCTGTGCAGCAGCCCATCCCTACCTTCAGGTGCTGTCTCCGGGCCGTGATGGCCCTGTTGCGCTTCTGCAGAATCGGACAGAGAGGGCAGAGTCAGGCCTTGGCTAGAGCTCTGGCCTCCTTGGAGCCATCTACCCAGGCTCCCAAGGAGGCCACAGGGCCACTGCCCAGGGCCCTGTTTTTCCCAGTCCAGGCCCTGCTTCAGGAACACATGCTTGTGGTCCTGACACTTTGCTTAGGTGGCACATAGGGTTGAAGGGGGTGATGGGGTTTGAGAATGGGGAGGGTGTGTGGCCAGGGCTCAGAGGCTGTGGGCAAGGGGAGGCCTGGGAGGTGAGTGGTGAACAGAAATCAGAAAGGAGAAGTGATTCCCTTGTGATTAGGCCCAAATCTCACTTCCCTCTCACTAGGCACCAGGCAGGCACTTCCTCTCTCTCTGGGGTAGCTCAGGGGGCGGGGCACTTGGGGACTTGGACAGGTGTGTCTTCTGACTTAGTCTCAGGAAACCATTATAGCCTTGAATGATACTCACCTCCTCACTGTCCCAGGAGGAAGAGGGAGGTGGGAGGGGGAGAGAAAACAGAAGTTAGGCTGTGGCTCATGGGAGTAGCCATGGAACCTTTTGGTAGATGGGGTTGAAAGGGTGGGTGGTAGCCACAGAGGGCAGGGAGTTATGGGACCCGAGCCCTGGTGAGGGGACTGCAGTGGGGGGGGGATCACACTGAGTGCCACTTACTCCCCCATCCTGAGGTCTCGAGCTCTGAGCCTGTGGGGAGAGAGAGGTGGAGATGTCAGTGTTCGTCTTGCATGAGGCCAGGCATGGAGACCTGTGCTCACTAGTCCACTTCTGCCCTACCCCAACTCAGACCTTCTCAGAGGGCAAGGATTTAGAGGACACCCCCCCTACCCCCACCCTGAGGGTGAGAAGTAAGAGGAGAAAGTGTTCCCAAAATGTCCCAGGCGGGGCCTGAGGATCTGCAGCTGTCCCCGAGGGAGGGGTGGGGCTGGCCAGCACAGGTGGCTGCCAGAGCGAGCCTGTTATTTTTAACTCTTGCTGCTTTGGCTGGAGAAGTCAATACATGGAAGAAAGGGCTCTTCTGTGTGGCCTGGGGGCTCAGGTCCCCGCTTGCTTGACCTGAACATTCTCTTGTTTGTGTGTCCCCAGAGTCAGAGCCTGTTATCAGAGGCCTGTTGAAGACCCCTGCCCCATCCTGCCAGCACCTGTTGCTTTTCGATCCCAGATCTGCGGGAGCCCCCAGAGAAAGCTGTTGGCAGCAGACCCCAGACCCCTGAGTCCCTGCCCAGGGAAGTCCTCCTGTGAGCTAGCCTGAGTAGTGCCCTATTCTCCAGCCTCAAGAAGATGGACCAGGCCTCACCTAGAGTCTGCGCAGCAGGTCTGGGAGCGAGGTCAGGCAGGCAGCAGTGAGCTGGGCTGGTGGGCCAGGGGGAGGGGTATAAATGGCTTTCCCTGGGCCGGGCCCCTGCTCAGAAAGGGCATGGAGTCTCCTCAGACCAATGGGGGCACAGAGAGGAGGAGAGTCTCCCCACCTGCCCAGCCTCCTGGCCAGTCAGCCCAAGTGCTGGCCTGTCCAAGAAGTCTTGGGGTGGAGGGGTTGGTTTACTCTATTTATGTCTCAGTGACGAGTTCAAGATGCCACCCTTGTTCCTGCAAGAGCCCTCGGGACAGCAAGAGTTGAGTTGCATGTGGGTCTCCAAGGTACCCAGCTCAAGCATCCACTAAAGTCTTCATCCAAGGGAAACCTGACCTCGCAAGTGGGCTGAACTGGAGTCACTGTCAAATGGCCTTGTGGCTCAACACCCATCAGACTGAGCTACGCTCACTGCCTGCTGGGTGCTCTCTCCCTACTTGGGCCCCTGGGCTGACAATTCACCACATCAGTCCTCTTGAAAAACTGGACACCCACCCCCCCAAAAACAAACAAAAGCAAAACAACAAAACAAGTCTCCCTGGCTCAGGAGAGTGATGCCCACCTCTTGTAGTGAACTTGCCCTTCTGCCTAGGGAGAAGAGCAAATGGGCCCCTGGACCAGCAGCCGGGCCTCTCCCAGCCTTCCACACGCCCTGCCCATGGGTGTCTCTCTGCACAGGCAACTTGGAACATGTCCTTCAATCCCAGAGAGTGGTGCCACCGCCCCAGGAACCTCTCTCTGACCCGTGGGGGCTCAGGGCCCTTAGCTGCCTAGGCAGGCCCTGCATTGCCTGGCTCGCTGGGGCCAGGCCCTCACCCCTTTCCCGCTCCTGAACCCCACCCAGAGACACCGAGATCATGGCTTGGCCCCATCCCTGCTGCTCTGGGGCCCCAGAGGATCAGAGGAGGGTTGGAGCTGCTAAAGCCCGCCAGATGTGCTGGGATTAAGAGGTATATCACAGGCCAGGACTGCGAGCCCCCAAAGGCCTCAGAGCAGCTTCAAAAGGCACATACTGCCCCCTGCTGATAGTACAGAGGACACTCTATCCCACCATCCCTCATGGTGTTGGGGTCTCTTCCCCACACTGCCCCTCCCCACAATTCACCCCACTTGCCCACTTTGTCCCCACAGGGCCAGCTCTAGTCCCCTGATCCTCTGCCAACCATGGATGGCAGAGAGGATGGTGCCATCTTCCTAGGGAAGACCTCGTAATCAGGCCTTGAGCAGAGGCTCAGGACTGGCAGATCTGTTCAAAGCATGCTACCCCATCCTTGAGAGGATGGTGGTGCCAAGATGTAGCCCACCTTGTGTCTCTGGTCCTCCTCACAGGGTTCCATCAGGGCACATGAGTGGGAAAGAGAAGGCTTTTATTACAGAAAGCTCTGAAGAGCCTGGACAAATGCCACAGCTCCATTTGGGGAAACTGAAGCCTAGGGTTCTTTTAGGAGCGAGACCTGGGCAGGGGCAGGCGAGGCTTCAGGGCTAGAGCTTGGTCCACTTCCCTGGGGGACTGTAGGTGGTGCCACTGGGCAATGGACCGCCTGGCATGGGCCAGCATATCTGCCCAGTGCTGTAGGGGTTGACCTGAAGCCCGGGGACCCAGCAACACTTTGCCCACAGGCTCAGCCCGGAGCTGCAGTCCATGAGCCCAGACAGCCAGCACCAGGTCCACACTCTGCAGACGTGGAAGGGAAAAGGCTTTCAGTTTGGCCTAGCATGATGTCCAGGCCACTCTGCCCTTCCTTTCTGCTCCCCACCTGGAGCTGGCCAAACGGAACCAGGAAGGTGAAAGCCTCGTTGAAGTAGGGGGTAGTTGTGCCTTTCTTACAGGTTGTTTTTTTCTTCTTCCATTTTCTCTGGTTTAACATGAGCTGGACCTTCACATAGAGCCCTGCATGGACAAGAGAGCTCAAGAAGGGTGTCCCATACACGCTCATGGGAAGGTTGAGCACAAAGGCCCAGGCCTCTGTCCACCCCAGTATAGCTCTTACCTGCAAGTCCTGGATTCAAGCCCCGAGCCTCCAGCACAACCACAGTCAGGCGGCCTGAGCTGGGCACATAGCGCAGTGAGAAGCACAGCTCCCCCATCTGCTCCGGCTATGGACAACAAGACAGGGCTGCAGCTGGGAGGGTCATTTTTGCCCTTGGGGTTTGGGGCATAGCAGGTACAGCACCCAGACCTTGGCTACCCACTCCCCAGGGCACAGGCAGGATCTGGGTCCATGTCAGCCAGGCTCACCTCAGTGGTACCTGGAGCGCCCAACTGGTACCAGCTCTCCAGGACATGCTGAGGGTCTACGGTACCCAGTGATAGCTGGAGCTCCCCCAGTGGCTCGTGTTCTGAGAACCGCTTGAAGTCCAACAGTTGCACCTTTAGGGTAGCCCTGGACAGCTCTGCTGGTGGGACCTGCAGGCAGGGCTGTGAGCTGAGTCCTGCTGCTCTGGCCCCAGCCCACTCTCCTTACCCAGGTTAGACTTACTAGGAAGCAGCACGTCTCTTCGAACATGGGACAGAGAGTCCCACGGTGCACCTTTGTCTCGTGGCTTCTCCCTGGCTGGCTGGAAACACTGATGCGGGCGTAGGGGTCTGCTGTGTCCTCAGCTTTCAGGTTTTCAGCCTGTCTCAGGCCCACCCTAATCTGGGGGCCAGTGGGCTGGCTCAACCTGTGTGTGGTGGGGGATCCTCTTCCCATGTTCCCTTCCACCTGGCACTTCACCCATCACACCGTCCATCAACTACGGAGCCTCTGGACCGACCGAGTGGGGAGCGGGACTTACCTCCTGGCTTCCAAAGTCATACTCCAGTGAGAGCAGCAGTCGCCCCCACTGTTGGGGACCCCCAGAGCAGGGCTCCAGGCAGTCTACATCTGGTTGAACCTGGGATGGATGGGAGGGTGTTCAGGTAAGCATGGTTGAGACCAATCTCCAACCAGAGGCCTGGGCTCTCATAATAGAGGTCAAACCACCACCAGCCGGCCAGCTCACAAAATGGCTCACGTCCTCAGCACAGCTCTCTGAGACCAGCCATATCTGCCTTCAACATGACTCGTATGGTACTACTACTGTAGCTTCCAGTGGCCCATGGACCAGCATCTGCCTGCTTCTTGAATTCCTCCTCCCCCATCCCCTCTGTTAATCTTCCTCTGCCAGGAAGGCCTGCCAGGGCTGCCCTGAGCTTCCTGGTCTGGACCTTACATTCCCCTCCCTGGAGTGAGCCAGGACAGGACGGGGCACAGGTAGGTGCAGGTTTCTGCTCCTCACCAGGTGAGTAGTGGTGCTGCTGTGAGCACTGCCCAGGCCCACAGCTTCTTTGTCTTTGGGCTGCTTCCTCTTCCGGCGTTGGCAGCGGCCGCAACAGCAGTAGATGATGCAGAGCAGACAAGAGACCAGGAGGACTCCAGCAGCAAGAATGATGATAAAGAGTGCCCAGCGGGGCCCTGGGCCAGGGACACAGGCTGCTGAAATGCCTTCCTAGACCATCGGGACCTAGACTGGACCAGGCCCACACCACTCTTGGGGTTCCAACCACTCACAGGGGATCCTGGTAATGAGGTCTGGAATGAGACTGGGCTCAGCAGTGGTGTGGACTGGAGCTGAGGCGCTGCGGGGGTCTGGGACACGCCCCATCTTCCTGCCCCTGTTGGCTTGGAGGAGATAACTGGAATCCAGGTCACTTTGAGGGGTAGCCCTCTGACCTTTGTGTACTGCCTCTTCAACTGGCAGCAGCAAGTACTGAGTCCACCCTAGATTAGAAGGCAGCCTAGGTGGCCAGGGGCAAGGTTGTTAAGTCAGGAAGCTAGGCAGAGAGAAGCTCTGGGCCTTGGCCAAAGCATTGACTTAGCTGCCACAAGCCCAGCCTCTTGCCACCTTCCCCAGGCCCCAACCCTAGCCAAGTAGGCCAGGCCTGGGCAGCCTGGTACCTGCTTTTGCTGGCCCTTGCCCACTGGAACCCTCCAACACACATTGCACGAAGAACTTTGCCCTTTTTTCATGGACTCAGAGGCCTTTTCTGATTTCAGGGGTGTCTCATTTCATGAGGAAGGAGGACCCATCATAGCCCCCTGCATTCCGAAGACCTACCATGTTCTACAAGGTAGTCCAGTTCACTGTAGCCTCCGGGCCAAGAGCAGCTTGGGCCATGAGGTCATGTGGGAGGGAGCTGGGGGTACAGGGCATAGGGCCACCAGCAAGTGGGCATGCGCTCCAGCAAGCCTAGGCTGAAGGAGCTTTGCTGGCATAGGCACCAGGCCAGTAGTGCCTGGGGATGAGGGCGAGGCGGGGGCAGGCAGGGGCAAGGCATAGCTGGGAGAGCCTGAACATTCCTCCATGCTGAATCAATGCCGGCCTAAACTTGCCTACCTGCCGGCTTGGCCACCCTTGGCATGGGAGTGGGAAGGAGGAGGCCATGAAGCTGCCTTGGCCTCTGTACCCCACCTTCCTGGGGCCGGAGGAGGGTACACATCTGACAGGCTGTCTTCTTCCACCATGAGCAGGAAGGGTGGGATCTCCAGCTAGGGGCTGAGAGCCACTGTGACTCCCTGAACTCAGATCCCCCCAACCAGCTTCCCTAGATGGCAGCTGCTGACCAGGACTTGGTTTCTAAAACTTGAGTCTACCCCACTGTGCTACAAGAGCCTGCCACCCTCCTACTGTATCTAAGCCCAGACTGAATACAGGTTACCAGATCAGCCTACCCCCGAGAAGTAACTAATTGTGGGGTCAGATCCTTTCTCTCCTGTACCCTCAGCCTGGAATCCCCAACATGATTCTAAGGGACACCCCCTCCTGCAACATCAATGCCTCACTGCCTGGTAGGCTGGAGAGAGGCAGCCACTCCTCAGTGATCGTGGGTGGCTGCAGATCAGGAGGAGACCAGGTTCTGCCTCCCAGGTCTCTCTTTAGGGATCCTGCAACCGTGGACCCATGAGCTTTCCAAGGATGGCCTGAGGTTGGAGTCCGAAGTTGGCATGGCCCTGGAGCAGAGCTGCAGAGGGTTGTCACAAGAAGCCATAATGACAACGGAGAGTGGGCTGGTGGGGACCTGAGAGGGCCACAGTCTTAGGCTGAATGCCCTCCTCATCTCTTGAAATCCCTCAGTATTTTAGCACAGGTACCATATTTTAATTCATCCCCAGGCCCCATGAATCATACAGCTAGTCCCTAACTTGGTTTCTGACCCCAGTCTGTAATTCGGTGGAAGTGGAAGCTTGGTGAGTCCCCTGAAGAGGGAGGAGGTGATCTGAGGCCTCAACGGCCTCCCTGTCCCCTAACTTCACTCTTGTCTGGCCTTTTGAGGGTGTCTGCTGGGCACAAGTCCTCAGGGGATGTCTGGAGTGCTTCCAGTGACACTTGGTGAGGTAGGCTGGTGGGAGCTGGAGCTGGGGTGTTGTTCCTCAAGAGTCCCTAACATAAGAGGGCTGAAGCTAGACTCAAACAAGTCTGGCTCCCTGAGTGAGCAAAGCCACATTGGCCATTTGGTAATGGTGGAGCCGGAACGAGTGCTGGAATTCAAGTAATGCTGAGACCTCTCTGTCTGTCTGTCTGTCTGTCTCTGTGTCTCTGTCTGTGTCTGTCTGTCTGTCTGTCTGTCTCTCTCTCTCTCTCTCTGTCTCTCTCTGTCTCTCTCTCTCTCTGTGTCTCTCTCTCTCTCTGTCTCTCTCTCTCTCTCTCTCTGTCTCTCTCTCTCTCTCTCTCTCTCTCTCTCTCTCTCTCTCTCTCTCTCCCTCTGCACATGTGAGTTCCTTTCTGTGCCCTTCTCGACAGAAGTCTTCCCTCCCTTATGGTGAGAACAAGTAGCAGGGAGCACAGAGGCCCATAAGCTGTGATTTCTCACTGCATGTAGATCAGGAAGGCATCCTGGATGTCCACAGGGGACTTCAGGCTGTCTGGAAGCTAGCTTTGGAGGGTGTTGGGGCCTCAGGAACACCAGCTCCTGGTACTAGAAAGATTTTCAAGGCCTGGAGAGAAGACGGTCCCTTAGGACCCCCAGGTCTCCACGGTGGTAAAGGTGCAAGTAAAAACACAGCCACCAGGTGGAGCCGCTCTCCCCGCTGGTCTCCACCGGTATAACAGGAGCTTTCAGCCTGCAGATAATGGACTTCAGGGAAGGGGAGCCCGAGCAGGACAACAGAAAAGAGGCTCTATGATTCTCCAGCCCCAACCCAGGGAGTTGGCTATCCCTGTTTGTATGGCCTGGGGCAGCACCCACCCGTGAGCGGCAGGCATGCTTTCCTGCTGACTTCAGGAGTCTGTCTATGACGGCTGGGGAAGACTCTCTCAAGGACCCAGCCCTGTTTGACCCAGGATAGGGAGCTGGGAGCCACTGCTACATCTCCAGGCTCCCTCCCAGTGGCTCTGTGCATCCAGCTCTGTAATCCCTTCCAGGCAGGGCATCTGCCTCACAGTTGGGTCTGAGGCCTGCTTCCACTGCCCAGCCTTTCCCACTCTATTCACCTTCCAAGGCTTGCTTGGGCCCCACTTTCTCCAGGTATCCCTTCCAGGTCCCTCAGAATTACTCAGTCTTGGGCTAGATGCCACCCAGTGCCCCCTTTAAGACAGGAGCCATGCACAGTTGCGCTGGGCCTCTCCTCCAAATTCCCTGGCAGCCCAGGATTGAGTATTCATTACTTCTGGGTTAGACCTGCTGTCCACCCTCAGTCTAACCAGACCTTGTAATGTTTCACGGGGAGCAGGTTCTGTGTTCCCTTTCCCCAGAAAAGCAAGACTCCTGCCCCCAAGTACATACAGCGGTGATCTCTTCCTCACCTGATGGCCTACTGCTTCCTGTGACTGGTGGGTTCTGGCCTTCTTGCTCAGACCCTAGCCACCGGGAGGCTGGTTGGTTCACTCTTAGGCAGCACCTGGAGTCCACAGCAGAGCCAGCACCTGTTGCTAGTGATCCAAAGAATCTTGGGGAGGGAAGGGGTGTGGAGGCAGGGCTTTGGGGAGCCCCACCTCATGGCCGGAACTGCTGGCCCTCCGAAGCCAGGAAACTCCCTTGAGAGAGAAGGTCTCCCCTTCTCTGCAGTCCTAGAGTTGGTGTCTGGACTCTGGGCTATCTCTAGGGGTTCCTCAAGGCTGGGGGTTACCCCACCCACTCCAGACTTAGCACACGGGGGTGATAGGCCCACTGGGCTGACCTCTGTGCAGGCTCACACACCCAGAAGGCCTGAGTCACAGCAGCTTGGTTGAAGAATGTGCCTTCTGGCAGTGCAGGTCTAGGGAACCAAGAAAAAAGAAGGTGGAACCCTGTGGGGGAGCTGCCTGGTGCTACGCGGTGCTGTCCTGGGACCATGGGGGACTGGTTGGCTTTGTTGCTACCCTCAGAGGACATTCTGACCCACTCCTTTGAGTTTTTAGCTTCCCGATGAGCAAGCCCTCATCCTGGTGTCCGAGGTCCTTGCAGTAATCTAACCTCAGGGTCTGTTCCATCAGTTTGAGTCCCACCAGAGCTGGCATCTGAGTTCTTCACTGTGCTCTGACCAGTTAGTCTGGTCCAGTCACTCCACAGCCACTTATCTGTGGCTGCCAGTCAGACATCGGAATGGTTAATGGTTAACACAACCTATCTATCTCACTAGCCCCAAAGTCTCCAAGTCTCTGGGCTGACCAGACAGGTCTTTTTGAGGAAACTCCAGCTGGAGCATGCTCTGGGACCACCGCATGTGGGGCACACGCATGCTGCTCACAAGTGGCTCTGGGTACATGGGCACCGGCATGAGGTGGTGGGTTCGTCCTCTGCTGTGACTCAGGTGATGTGACAGAGGCTTGTAAATAAGATCACAGGGGCCAGAGGTGTGCCTGCAGGGATACCAAGGCACCCTGGTAGCGAGCACCTGCATTTTGGGACCTACCAGGCCCCTGTAGAGCAGAGCTTCAGGCCCCACAAGTAGCTCCCACAACCCGGCTGTGTAGGGGCTTTGTGCCTTTCCAGAATGAGGGCGCCTCCGTGGCGAGACGGCGTCTGAGGTTCTGAGGCAGGAAGGAGAAAACCAAACAGAGCTGGCAGCCCACGGCCAGGCCCGCGGCCCCCAGACAGCGGCTTGGCAGCCAGAAGCCCCGTGGAGACCCTGGCGGGGCTCCTGGACTCGTACGCTTCCTTTGAGGATGCCTGGGGAATGTTTGAGGTCAGAACACACGGCAGCCGCTGGCGGGAGAGCCCGGAGCCTCTGGCAAAGAAGCAGGAGACGTGCTGGGATGGGACACGTGCTCCCTGCCTGTACTGACCCCACTAAAGGCCCTATCCTTCTGGGCACCCCTTTTATCTGGGGTCTGGGACAGCCAAAGATGGGTGCTCAACTTGTCTCAGACCTCTGTAAGTAGCTTGTATGTCCACTCGGGTTATCTATGTCTTTTGCACCGAGGGACACATGTTAGGCAGAGCGTCCCTAACATTCCAGCATCAGAACAAGTCTGAGCCTCATTATCTAGACACTTTGGGGAGCTGAACCCCAACTTCTAAACATCTGGGGAGCCTGTACCTCATTTCTTGAACATCCGGTAAGGCTGCATCCTATCTCTTGAGCACTGGAGAACACACATGATCCACCACCTAGGCAGCCAAGGAGCACAGTCCCCATCTCTTAACCATCCAGGGAGGCTACACCCCATCATCCCAGAATCTAGAGAAATGGCGCCATTATTGG